CCTCCTCGAGGCATATTCGATCTCATAAGACCTCCTCGAGGCACATTCGAACATAAGACCTCCTCGAGGCATATTCGATCTCATATTCGATCTCATAAGACCTCCTCGAGGCATATTCGATCTCATAAGTCCTCCTCGAGGCATATTCGATCTCATAAGACCTCCTCGAGGCACATTCGAACATAAGACCTCCTCGAGGCATATTCGATCTCATATTCGATCTCATAAGACCTCCTCGAGGCATATTCGATCTCATAAGTCCTCCTCGAGGCATATTCGATCACATAAGACCTCCTTTAGGCACATAAGACCTCATTGAGGCATACTCGGACTCATAAGACCTCAATGAGGCAACACTTAAACTATAAGACCTCAAGAAGGCAAGTCCAAGCTCATAAGACCTTAATAAGGCGACACATAAAACTGTAAGACCTCAAAGGTGAGTTCGAAATTCGTAAGGCCTCGATAAGGCATTATTTTAACCATAAGTCCTCGAGAAGGCGGGTCCAAATTCATAAAATCTCAAAAGAGGTAATACCGGCCTCATCATCGACTTCACTAATGGCGAAGTATACTCGAATCTGTAAGACCTTAAGAAAAAGGTTTGATTTTTCGAAAAAACCTAAGGGTTAGACTTCACCCGGGCTCGAATAAACTCGTTCGAGGACTATATTGAAAAACGTAAGGTTTGATTTTTTACCCGAGCTCGAATCAACTCACTCGGGGACTGCCTTGAGAAAACCCAAAGGTCGAAGTTCACCTGAGTTCGAATACATTCACTCGGAGACTACTTCGAAAAACATAAAGGACTACCATCGTTCCAAAAAGATAAAAGGCAAAGTAATAACAAGATTGAAAAAGGAGCAATAGATGGCAAAGGGCAATGTTTCATAAAAAAGCTCGCTACCGGAGCAATTACATAAGAGGGGAAAACAAAACAAAGCATAGCCTATTCCCGGAGTCAATCAGAGCCATCCTCGAATTCTTCGGGGAACGTCGCCCTTCTCGAAGTGTCCTCAGCTTCGGCGGCTTTGGTGACGTCCGATGCAAGATCGAAACCGCGACGTTGGAGTTCGGTAAGAACTTCAAGCCGGGCCTGACACTTCGCATATTCGGCTAACATTCTTGACTGCTGGTTGGCCGCATCAGCATCGGCCCTATATTGGGCCACCAGATCGTTGGCAGTCTCCTCGGCTTGGGAAACTTTAGCCTCAGCTTCCTGAAATCGATTGGTCCATAGCTCAATTTCAAGGACTCGAGCCTCATTGGCCAACGTCAAGTCCGCAACCTCTTTCCGAAGGGAAGTCTTCTCCGACTCCAACTGTTGCACCCGGGCTTCCAGTTCGGCTTTGTTCTCATCAAGTTCGGCTCTGCTCTCGTCAAGCTTGGCCTTAACCCGATTAAGCTCGGCTTGCACCCCCCTTAGCTTATAACCAAGCTCTTTCTTCGCTTCCTCCAGCCGGATAGCACAGGACGCGTGCTCTTTGTTCAAAAGGTCCAATCCGGTCCGGCTTTCTAGCAGCTTTTCTTCAAGGACCCGGCGCCCCTCTCGCTCCGTCTCCATTTTGTCCTTGATCCGGAGGAACATCGAGTGATATAGCACCGATGCCTGCAAAGAAAAAGTCTAAAGAGTCAGTACTGAATCACAAGGCAAAAATATTAGAAATAAAGGAAGAAGCAAGTACCTTGAGCTGCGCCTGTTGGGCTTCGTTGAAAAGGCATGTCCAATCTACAGCCTCGGTTGCAGCCCGGTCTTCCTCCGTCATCAGGTGATGAAGATAGCTTGCAACCCCGACCGGGGGCCCCAGAGCCCGGACGTCTTTGGGGATAGCAAAAGTTACTATCCTGTTACAGTTCGGGTCCAGGCTCGGAGCTGGAAACCTATCGACAAGCTTGTCGACGGCCGAAGTCCCACTTGATTCGGCCTGAGGGTCTTTCCGGGGGGTTTCGAGCCCGAAAGTGTTGGCGGAGGGTACCCCATCAAAAAAGGTCTCGAAGCTACCTCCCATCATCGGGATGTCGTCCGGCAGCTGCCCCCAAGTCGAGGAAGACGGGGGGGACGTAACCGGGTGATCGGTACCCGGGGACGCCCGCGCAGGGGCCGAGGGTTCACTAGCATCCTCAACCCTCACGTCCTCGGGAGGAGCCTCAGCTGGATCGACCACCGGCTCAGGGTCCGGTCGAATGGATCGATGGCGGACGAGCTCCGGCTGCTCCTCATCGTCATCCTCTTTGTCGTCCTCCTCCTCGGAGGACAAGACGATTTGGCTTTTTAGTTTGCGGGCGGCCCTTTTTGTCCGCTTAATCTTCCTTTGGGGCTCGTCCGTACCGGACTCCCCGGGCCTTTTATTTTCTCCCGGAACCGGAAGGGGGCATAGTATTGAAGACCTCATCTCCGCGTCCTTGGGCAAGCCTGCAAAACACGAGGGTTATGATGCATTCCCGATATACAAGAAAAAATGCGTTAACTTGGTGCGCTACCGGTCAAAAAGAAGGCTTACCATGGTTTTTCGCCTCCCACCGACCTTTGGAGATTTCCTTCCAGTTTCGCTCCGAATATGGCCGCTGGGCCACTATCTTGTTTACCCAGCCGGCCAGATCCTTGATGGCAGCTGGAGTTTGGGTCACCGCTGCACAAGAAAAGGGGGTTTCAGGAAGAAGTTGAGGAAAACACACTCTAAAAGATGAACAGTGAGAAAATACTTACGTTTGAGGTTCCACCTCTCCGGAAATGGCATGCAATCAGCCGGAATCAGGTCGGACGTCCTGATCCGGACAAACCTGCTCATCCAGCCTCGATCTTTGTCTTCATCGATGCTGGAGAATGGGGGTTTGCTAGCCCGGCGGGCCAGTTTTATTAATCCCCCTCGAAATATTCGAGGGCTGTATAATCGAAGAAGATGGTCGAGGGTAAAGGGAAAATCGCCCTCGACTCTCTCGACAAAAAACCGAAAGAGATATACGATCCGCCACATCGAGGGGTGGACCTGACCTAAGGTCACCTCGTACCGCCGGCAGAACTCCACTATAATGGGTTCTAAGGGGCCTAAGGTGAAGGGATATGTATATACACTAAGATATCCTTCAACGTGAGTCATAATCGACTCGTCACGGGAAGGGGCGACCAGGTCTTTCCCTTCCCATCTACATTCAGCCCTCACCCGGTCTAGGCAACCGGGAGTGATTAGGCTGATATACTCCGATGCCGGTTCGCCGCGGCCCGGGACCGATGATGGGTTCTCAACCTGGAAGTCGGCAGATACCAAGCAACCAGTCGGTGTAAAAGCTTTCAATGGGGGTTCTGGCGCAGGTTCATCAGATCTAGCGGGGCTCGCAGACGAGCTTGGTCTAGAAGGAACACTTTGTGAAGTTTTCGCCATTTCTTGAAGCTTTACGAAGAGATGAAAAGAAAATACAACCAACGCAAAATTTGAGAAAGATAAGAAATGTTGAACCTGGAAGGGTCGTTTATACTTTTCCCATGAGGCGGCGGCACGAATCGCGAAGTTACAGACACGAAGCGACAGATAATTAAGAGAAGCATTAAATGCCTGCAGCAGGCGTGGTCAGAGCACTCGATGGCTTTTTCACCTGGCGTATGGCCATACGTCACAGGCATCACGTCACCGATCATATCGTTTATTATCATTACTCTCTAATAAACGAGGGGACTATCTGTATTGGGTGATACCCTTTTTGCTTGAGCCCGACCGGGTTGGGTCCGGTCCGGGGCAAGTCGGGGCCATCGAACCCGACCTGGATGCAAGGTAGAACGACGGCCACGTCAACAACCGAGGTCGAGTCATTTCGAGACCGTTGCAGAGCTCGATATGAGTCACCACCGGATGGAGAAACACACAAGGTCGGAAGCCGGACTCGTAACGGATAACCAAGCGTCGCCGGATATCTCGCCCAAACGTGATTTTCTCAACCACTTCAGGCCATTAAGGCGTAATTACAGGGATCCACGATGTAATTAATTTACCTACCTTATTTTTACCCTTAATCAGAATGTATAAAAGGGGAGAAGACCCCATAAAGAGGGGATCGGAAACCATTACACTACGGTACCATCTCTCTCAATTCTTGTACGCTATCAAGCACAATTGTTCTAAGCAATATTATATTCTGCGATTATTTACTTTAGCAGCAATTGTTGAGTCTTTATCTTTTATTTTCCTCAATCCAAACCTTTTGTATCTTTTAGTTCACGGATCCTTAAAACCCCGTATAAATTCAATTGTTATCCGGATTCCAGGGTAAACAAGAATCATTTAGCATCTATTGAGATACTAAAAGGAATTTTGAAGCTAAAAACCAAAGTAGATCAAGAAAATGTAATGATTTCGATGCTTTATGATTAAGACTCTTGGAGTAAAGTTTGTCGAATAGTAGAAAAGAAGAGACTGGAGTGCCTAAAGTACCCCTTGAGTCTCTGCAAAGAACATTGAAGACTAGTGAATGAGATGAATTCCAGTTCAATATACCAAAAGTTTGCAATTCTATTGTGATACAGTGAAAATGTTTGGCGTAGTTCCAAGAAAACGATGATGAAAAGGATCAATTAGTATTGTGGCCTTTTAGTTTTATGTTAAATTTCTGAAGAGATGTTTATTTTTACACGTAAAATAAATTAAACACAATAGATCTTATATTTAAACGCAAGAGTTTTTTGTCAAATCTCCTAAAGAAAACCATGCCCATCTATAACCAGCTAAGTTCGCATCAATCTAAGGATGTGATCTAGTGATAAATAAAGTGGGACGCAAATGTTGGAGATAAAGGTACCAATTCCAATGGAGAAAGAAAAATATCATTCGCCCTGCCCAAATTTATGTAGTTTTCCTTTTTAGTCTGTTAAAAAAAAAAATTAATACTAAAATTTCTCTTTTATCCTTAATGAGATGATTTACACAAATTTCAAATGGTTATTTAGACAAGTTCTAAAGAATTTCTTTTCTTTCATAAACTACGTGCCTAATCAAACGGTCCATATAAATTGGGACAGAGGGAATAGCTAGTTTCTTTTCCATCTGCATAAACTTCAATGGGCAGATATACCCAACACTCGTTCTAACGAGATATAGCAGCTACCTTGAGAAAAAGTCGAAATATGCACAAACTAGCTGGAATACCAACGGTAAGAAAAAACCAAGTTTTAATTTATAGCACACAAATCAGAGAACTAATTTCTCTAACGTAAAATAAGTCGAACTATGCTGATATATTATATAAAATCAAAAAACACCGAAAAATGCTTAATCCTAGCTGCCACATGTATAAAATATCATGTAAGTTGTAGACACGTCAACAATCAATTGTTTAACCGGAGTCAAAGACGGCAGCACAATAACTGAACTAACATAACGCATACTACGTATATGCAACAGGAAAGTAGGTTCAAAATACTGGGCACCATCAATTAATATATGAGGATCAGAGTTGCTATGAAAAGAAATATCCCCGTGTATCTTACATTATTATAACATCGTGACAGGAGGATAGCGCATACAAGTTGTATGATCCTAAACTTGGAACAAATAGTGCAATGGATAACCAAGAAAATTTAACGGAAATATACGGACACCAGAGGAATATCAACGTCGTTATCTTCATCATCTTCACAGGCAACAACAACATCCAAGTGACAACGATATGGTGGTAGCTCCACCTTGGCCACATCCCTCGCCAAATCTACTACCTTCTTGTCCATTCGTTCCTTGTGCCGGGGAAACATACTGTTAAACAGCAGGCAGCTTCCACATGAAATGCTGTAAGCATTCAGTCCCTTGTCTGCAAGCCATTGGATTAATTCTCTCAATGTAGGATTGTCCTTGATGACCCACCTATCCCAAACAGTCCAGCTCATATCTTGATGTTTGACAACCTTGGGCGGCACCGGCTCAGCCATGGAAAAGAGAGGTAGAGCAAGGTTGGCAAACGTGTTCCGGTAGTCCTCCAGTTTGTGGCCCCCATCAAGAACCTTGTACAGCTCAAGGCAAACCAAACCCGTTGCCATTGCAGTAGTAGTCGCGATTGCAGGAATGATCCTCCCCGCAATAAACTTAGCTTTCAGTTTGTCAACTTCGGGGATACTGTAGTTTCTCGCTCTCATGTTAGCAAGTGCAGCTATAAGGTCCATGTGATAGTTAGTGTCATCGTCCTGCTCAACATCAACAAAAACATCAGTAGTGCCGAAGTAATCTATCTGAAATTCATACAATTTATAAGCTACACTATTAGGAGGAATTTTGATGCAAAAAGAATACACAATATTCAAGTTGGAATGTAACGAAATTGAGACCTTCTCAAATTGAATAGGTTTCATCCGGAAGCCTGGTGTTAGATTCTTCCTACAGTGCTCCAGCTTTGATATAAGTTCATCGATGACAGCAGCATCATCTATAGAAGCTGTAGAGAGACTAGTCGCCTTCTCATCAGTCACAATTTTGGCATCTTTTTTCGGTTGAAAATCTGGAACCATAACCTTGTCCACTGCTTCACTCAGTTTCTTCGGGTGCTTAGCCCAATCGGGAATAGGTATACCAAATGTCTCAGCACGTAAAATGGATGCAGCCATGATAAAATGGAGATGACTAGGGTCGGTAGAAGAGAACTGCAAGGGATGAGGGAAGCGCTTAGGGGCAGACCAAAAGGGGGCTCCAGAACTGGTCATAGAATCCTCAGGGAAAGTGAAAATCAGTTGTTTTACTCGGTTCACAAAATAATCTTCAAACCTGGAAAAAGAACTAAGGTCAGAAACTGCAAAGATAAAGGCACCGTTATGATAGTTAAACACAAAAAAGGATGAAAGAAAAATGGTATCGCGTATTACTTAAGGCGTGCCCATGCAATGCAATCTTCAAATGTTTCACAGCTTTCTCGATCAAGGCACTCCAGAACACGCTCCAAATTGTCTCTGGCTTGAGCATCACCGGCATTTGTTTGTGCAGATGTATATTCACTTGGATTAGAAAGATAAGCATTAACTTCGGCTGGTATTTTCTCAAGCAGACCCTCAAATTCGGACCGTGCCCATGTCAAACAATGATCAATATTATGTGGGAAGGAGTGCAAAGTGCACATTGGTGCTTGCTTCTCTGGAGGATCTCTTGATGCACCATAATTCTCAGTCAGATGGGGAATCACCATCTGAGTGTTACATTTGGCACCAAGGGTTCCTGATTCAAGCAGTGGCTTCTGAAAGTACAAGCATCTCTGATCGACATAAAGTCTTGCATTGATATTGTCAAGTGCATTAATAACCACACTAAGATTCTCCCAGAAAGTGTCATCAAACACATTTTCAGTTTCAGGACCCACACGGTTCTGCAAAGCTTCAACTTGAAGCTGGGAATTTATCGATGCTGCAGCTGTAGCAGCAACAGTGGATTTTGCCTGGCCAATGTTCCAATCACGGAAGAGAAATTGTCTACTAAGGTTACTCTTCTCAATCACATCATCATCAGTGACTGTCAGTTTCCCTTGTTTGTTGGATGAAACTCCCATTAAAGCCAAGTTCTTCAGGAACTCACA